AGAGAGAGAGAGAGATGCAGCACTAAAGTTGAACAGATTATTAAAACAACATTTAAAAGGGAACTAGTTCAGATAGTGTCCCACACCACCTCAAACACATTAACAAGATGTCACCACAGAGCTCACCACACACACAATACAATGACACAGCCACTCACACAACCAAAAACAGATTTTAAAAAACAGCATGATGTAGAGCTATTTAAAATAAACTCCCGACTGATATTCAAAAAGAAACAATTCCTCAAAAGTATGAGTTTCCCCTGTGCTTACAATATGTTGTGTAGCTGGGAAATTTTGAATTGGGTTACATCATGCTAAACTTGGAGTAACTGGAGGAATATACAGTACTGCAGTGTATTCACACCTTTAGTATACAGAGCGCTTTCAGAGAAATAATCTCAAACAACTTCTAAACATAATGGCTTTCACATAAATTCCCATTTTGCAGAAATGTATCTGCCATTTCTGAGTGGCTAATGAACAATTTTTCTGTCTGCTGCTTCTTGGTATAAGAGTATTAACCAGAGAAATTTCATCTGTAGATACATAAGATCTAGGAGGTAACTTTAAGTATTATTCTTGAACTTAGTCCAAGGCAAGGAATGTATGCCATTACTTTTGTAGATGTACAAATCATCATATTGAATGAGCAAGCTATAATAAATCTGGTGGCAACCCACCACTGACAGTGCCACTGCCGAGAAGGCCCGGTTCCTCTTTCTTTCCTTTCAGACCTCCCTCAGCATTAGGCCCCTCAGCCACCCGGCCTGGCTAGAACAAGTGACTCTGGCAGAACTGGGTGGGAGAAAGCAATCTGTCAGATATTGAGGTCCTAAACAGCTCAGGGCTTTATATGTAATCATAAGAACTTTGAAATCAACGTGGAAATGAATGGGCAGCCAATGCAAGGCAGCCAGAGTGGGGGAAATATGTTTATACCTTTTCACCCCAGTAAGAAGTCTGGTTGCCACATTGTGCACCATCTGAAGTTTCCCTGTCAGTCTCAACGGCAGCCCCACATAGAGTGCATTACAGTAGTCTAATCTCAGGAGTACAAGTGCATGGACCAAAGTGGTGAGTGCCCCCACATCAAGATAAACTGGGCAGTCCACTGAAGGTGGAAATGTGCGGAATGGACCACTGATGACACTTGGGTCTCCATGGTGAGCATTGGGTCCAGATATACACCCAAACTGCGAACCTCCCTCTTGGTGGCAAGAGTCACACACACCCCAAAAGAGAGGGAGTTTCCCAAACTACTGACGTCTGGGACACCCACCTGCAGGACCTCCGTCTTGCCCTTGTGAAGCCAAATTATTCTGTTTCCCTGAGTTGCTATGTGCAAAAACACTGTCTACAAGAGTTGCAGGCTGAAATGGTAATGAATTAAAGTGACAAATCAGAGATTGCAAATGGTGATCTGTGCTTTCTTTCCTTTCCTTTTCTTGTTTACCACTGAAACATGCATGAACTTTGAGAACACAGGAATATATGAGAGGAACAACTGGGCTGTAAATCAAGTACGTATTATA